AAGTGATAACCATTGTGAAATGTCACCTTATCCTATTGTTACTAGCTACTCTGTTCTCCCTGACTCCTGAACAGGTAACAACTACTAGCAATTTCTTATGTATCTTTCATTTTTTTTTAAAGCAAATATAAGGATGTATTATGTCCCCCCTTTCTTACAAAAGGAGCATACCATATATACTCTTATATACGTTGCTTTTTAAAAAAAAATATACTCTAGGGCCCTCCCTGTTGGCGCAGCGGGTTAAAGCACAGTACTGGAAAGCTTAAGCTACTTCCACATGAGTTTGATTCCTGCCATCCCCGGAGGAGATCCACATGGTTTGGCAGACCTCTCCTGACCCGCCCGCTGCTCCCCTCAGCAGTGTACTTTGTCAGTCTGCCTGTTCTGCTCCCTACTCTGTCTCTGGTGAATCCTCTCACCCTCTGCATCTCTGGCCTGTACCCCAGTTCTATATGAATAAATAAATAAATCTTTTTATTTATTTCATCTAGACATCTTTTCATCTTTTTATGTAGGAAGCGTCCTTACTTTTAAAGTAGCTGTATAATACAGCTACTTTAAAACATCCATTTCATGGATGGAGCTGTTCTTTGACCATTCATACCCTGAGAGCAACCTGGGTTGTTTTCAGTATTCTGCTCCTAGGGATAATGTGGCAATGAGTAAATACATATACACGTCATTTTCTAACTGTAAGATAAAATTCCCAGAAGTGGAATTGCTAGTTCAAAGGTTAAAGCATTTGTCATTTTGCTCCTTTGGAGTGAACCATTTTACATCCTTACTGGCAACATCACAACCTTTCAGCTTTTGTTGCTTTCAAATCTAGAGTACATCTTTATCTTGTTAGCTCCAACACCCCTTTTACTGATATGAAATTCTGACAGTCAGAATCTAAAAAAAAAAAAAAAAAAAGTCAATATGCTGCTATACCCGGTAATGAACAAGTGAAAATAAAATGCATTCATAATAAAATAAGAGATTTCACTACATGAAAGCTCCTGCAAGATTATACTACACAATGTAGTGAAGAAGCTTATCTCCGTGTGCACACTATGAATGCCACACCCCAGATGCAGACTGATACGTTGTTGGTGACCCTGGATCTGTAAGCACAGTTGCCACTGGAGAAACAATTCCCAAAGTGATGAAACAGACCCAAAATATCCTCTTAGTAAGGTTCTGAACACAATGGAAGACAACCTTCCCTGCATATACACACCAGTTGCATTCCTGGAAAATGCTGTGCTTATTAAAACCATGTGCAAACTCATTTGTATTACCTTGCTAGAACATAAAATGGTTTAAGTTCTAGATTAGGATGTTAATAAGCAGGTTTTTCTCTTGCCTGATGTCTGTGGACATTTGAAGGTCCTGTGGGACACAGGACAATTCTTCCTTGTGTGGGACTGCTCTGCCCCCATCTTTTAAATGCCAGCACAGCACTCCAAGTGATTGTGACAGAGAGACGAGTTCCAAACAGCCAATGTCCTCTCCTGCCTAGAGGACTGTTGCTTTGGGGTTCCCTGGGGATTCAGTGTCATACAACAAGCCCAGGGGAACATTTCTAAAACACTGACCTGCTTCTGTTTAGACGCCATTAGTAGCTCCTCATTGTTGCAGAACAAGGGCAACATCCTTAACCCATGAGATGGAGAAAGCAGGTCTGGCAATGAAAATTTATTGGCTGGATTCAATGATTTGACTGAGAACTGGGTATTGAAATATAAGCTTTAAATAAAAATGTCAAGTAGGAATCCACTACCCGGTGCTGCATTTGGCATGTTAGAAGGTGCTCGTCTTGATGCGGCTGCATGAAGCCCTTTGCTTGAAGTCTGGAGATCTTTTGTAAGTGGTTGGGTGTCTTTGGACAACTGTTTAAATCTTTCTGGGCCTCGTTGTTCTCTTATGTTAAGAGTATGGAATTAGGGCCCTCCCTGGTGGCTCAATGGGTTAAAGCACACACTATGAAGCTACCACAGCCACTGCAGCAGGAGTTCTATCCCCCGCCAGGGAGCTGACCCACATTGTGTGGCAGACTTCTCCTGACCCACCCACTGCCCCCTTCAGCAGTGTATTTCAGTACATCTGCCTGTTCTGCTCCCCACTCTGTCTCTGGTGAATCCTCCCACTCCTGCACCTCTGGCCTGTACCCCAGTTCTGTATATATAATTAAAAAAAAATCTTTAAAAAAAAAGAGTATGAATTAAGATGACTAGAGAGCTGGTACCTTTTAGCTCTGATCTTTGTGCTTCTGAAAATATGACCTTGTGGGACCCCAAATCTTTGCAGCAGTCTGAGTTCTGAATTTATTAATAGCAGCTTGCTTAAATACTTTCATTTTTGAGAGAGATAGTTAGAAGGATCCACCTTAACTCTTTCACACGCAGTGCTGTTTAAGAGTGCCCATGTTTAAGTTACAAACGCTCAGGATGCCAGTGTTCTCTGTTCGGGGACTCCTCTTGTCACTCTACAGCTGTCAGGAAATACAAAATTCACCTGTGTCAGGTTGGTGGCTTAGAATGACGTCATAAACTGTCATCTGGACTTTGGTGCCCAAGTGGCTTTCATTATAGCCCTGCAGATGGGTGTTTAAATATGACCAAGCTCAGTCTCAAATTGACCATCAATTAATAGGGCCAAAGTAGTATGGCTGCTAGAGGTACTCTTTCCTTCATACACATAGTTGCTGACCCCTTGTTAAAGTTTGTAACTCTGCATTTATTATGACATCTGAAGTGAAGCGTTTTGTAGTGCATAAACTTGGAGGGCAGGTTCCTGTTTTTCTTTTTTTTTTTTTTCCACTAGTGGATTAAAAGCACAAGGCACTGTCCTTAGATCAGTGCTTGACAGTTATTCACTGGGTGAATGAGGGCATGCATGAAGGTCTGTTATGCAGATAGTTACCTTATAGGGAATGGATTGGAGTCTTACTAGAAAAAGACAGTACACTTGACTTTCACTCACTCACTCACTGACTCATTTAGAAAGAAGGCTCGGGTTCTGACAGAAAAATTAATTTTTCTCCCAGCCCCCACTTGAGCAACCAGGCTTTCCCCACCACTTGCCCCAGGGTCAGGGCGCTCAGCTGGGTTTGAAACTGCTAGCATGCTTCCACAGACTGGAGGTGTGCACAGAAGCGGAGAATTCATTATAACCGGTTAGTCATCCGTGGAGATTGTAGACGCTGCCCGTGGGCGGGGCGCACCTGGCACTTCTCCGGTGGGGCCAGTCCCCGGCACTGCGCCCGGGGTGGGCGTGAGGGGTGCCACCGCCTCAGCCCACGATCTCCCCGCACCCGAGAAAAAGCACCCATAGACCCTTCGTGGCCCTTCGCCCGGGGCAGCCAACTTTCAGACCAAGCCCAGAATCTGCGGGGTAACTTTTCCCAGAATCAGCTGGGCGGGAGAGCCGGCCTGGATCCTCTCCCGTACCGCCAGGCGGAAGTTGGCCCACCCTCGCTCTCGGCCCTGAAAGCCGCGGGCTCGAGGCCGAGGCGGGTGACTGGGGGAGCGCGGAGCCCTCGCTGCGTAGGCACACAATTGAGGCGAATCCAGGCGGCGGACGAGCGGGGAGACCCCGCGACGTCAGGAGCGCGCGGCTCGCCGGGGTCACTCGAGTTGCGCTCGGCGGGGTGAGGATGACTCAGCCTCACTCTAGTCGGTCCTGCCTGCCCGTCCGCGCGAGGGCTCCACAAAGTTCCCAGTCACACCCAGACCTCGCTCGCGGGCCCGGGCTTCAAAAAGCTGGGTCCCGGGCGGCGGCGGCGGCGGCGGCGGCGAGGGAGGCCGCGGGGAAAACCTGGTTTTTCGGGCGCCCGGGGATTGCCCCCTTTCTCTGCGGCCAGTCTAGCGCACCTCTCCCGGCGCTTGGCAGCCTTCTGCTCAGTAGGTGGGGTTGCAGTGGGGAGCGGGTGACCCTTCTTGCCCCCGCTTAATCTTTCTCCCCGAAAACAAGGGAGTCAGGTTAGGTCAGACTTGGCGCCTTGTTTACTTGCCTTCTCAGACCTGTTATTCCCGCAGGCGCGCGCACCCCGGGCCCTAGCTCGCCTGAGCGCCGGCTGCTCCGAAGCCCGGGGCCGGGGTTTGGGTGCGCCTGGGGCGGCCCCGCTGCGGGCT